TAGATGATTTCACTCAACTGTAGACTCATGTAAGAGTTTCTGTGCACATTTAAGGTGGGTGGGGTGAAGCTATACTGTTTATCAAGTAGATTATCTGTATCTTCAGTTTATGATGGGCTTATCCAGACGGAATAGCATTGTAAACAGAGGCATATCTACCCATTATTTTATTGGTCCTCAAAATATTCCTAGGAGATAATTAAAGAACTAGCAATAATACAGATTAGATTATTTAAGGATAGCTGTGAACCGTTTTTAATTGCCAGGGTGGTTATGGTGTGTTATGGACAGGGAAGCAGCTGCTCCCTTTCATACCCTGCCCTTATTCTATGGGTCTGTGCACTTTGAAGGCTTTTGCATTTACAGTTTTAAGTCTTAGCTCACTGGGGTCAATGATTCTCAACTATAGATATGTAAATGAGCTTTGGCCAGTGTCAGTGGTACTGACTATTCTCTTTGCTGTCTATTAAGAAAATTCATGTCAGCATTCTTGACTGCCTGTATGAATCTACTTTGGGATGTTCCTTTGATTGTTTATAGTATCTTACTGATTTCCTCACTGACTAATGCATAGGATTCCTTGTGTGATATTGCCACAACCATGATTTTACCTTTTAAAAGTAACCTTTTGATAACAGCTAGCTATTATCAAAATTATACTAGTATTTAATTGAAGACTTAGTATAAAAGCCTTGTAAGAATTTTACATGTGTTTAATTTGTTCTTATAGTCAACATTTTGTAGGTGAGAAAATAGAATTTGGGAATAACTTATGCCTTACCCAAGGTCCACAATAAGCAAGGGAAAAAGGATTACGTCTCTCTTCTTTGTCCTGGAGGCCATCACTATTTTTCCTTGGAGTGTGTCTTAGACACTGTTCTATTGCTGTGAAGAGACTACAACCAAGGTAACACTTATAAAAGAAAGTATTTAACTGGGGCTTGCTTACAGTTTCAAGGGGTTAGTCCATCATCATCATGGTGGGGAGCATGGAGGCAAGCATGGCACTAGAGTAGTAGGTGAGAGCTACATCCTGATCCACAGATAGAGAAAGGGCCTGGCATGGGGTTTTGAACACTGAAAGCCCACCCTCAGTGATATACTTCCTCCTAATTCTTCTCAAATACTGTCACTCCTTGAGGACTACGCAGTAAAACATATGAGCCTATGTGTGTGTGGGGGGTGGTCATTCTTACTCAAAGCATCAAGGAGTTTATCATATTTGGTATTAATACGCTCTAAGACAGTTGTGGTCATCCCACTCAAACAATCGTGGGTAACAGCTTCCTGCATATACTGTTGAAGTTGTAACTATTTGCATTTCTAATTGACTGACATTTCACTCACAGACAACTTGAAGTGCATCCAAAGTCATCTGTCTCCTACCCAGAGTGAGCTGAGGAAAGGAGCAGGCAAAAGATCACAGAAAAAGCCCTGTTCTCCAAACTGGGAGACCAGCATTGCAGGTCAGGATCAGGTGGGTCATTTACCTTCCTGGGTCTTATGTGTAAAGTGACAAACAGGGAAGCAGGGAAGACTAGGATATGCAGGAGGACATGCAGAAGGACAAAGTCAGCACTGCCAACAAAGATGACTCCTACTAAGCCAAATGGACATCATAGGCTATTATGGAGGGTCCCTGCATCCTCCATTATTAAACCTGGGCCTTGAAGATGGAAACACTCAATTATAGTGAGACTAATAATGGGGCAGGAATTGGAAGTCAAGCAGATGAAGGTGGACAGATTGCACATCTTGATCTTGATATTCAGAGATGTCCTGTGTGACCGTTCAGATTTAGCCCTTCAGAAGCTTTCTTTCTTTTTTTTTTTAATTTTTTATTGGATAGTTTATTTACATTTCAGATGTTATCCCCTTACCCCATTCCCTCCCCCCCGCCCAGGAACCCCCTATCCCATCCCCCCTCCTCCTGCTTCTATGAGGATGTGCCCCCACCTACCCCCCCCACTCCCACCTCCCCACCCTCGAATTTCCCACACTTGGTGTCCAGCCTTCACTGGACCAAGGACTTCCTCACCCACCTATGCCTGACACTGTCATCCTCCCCTACATATACAGCTGGAGCCATGGGTCCCTCCCTATGTGCTCCCAGGCTGGTGGTTTAGACCCTGGGAGCTGTGGTTGGTTGGTATTGTTGCTCTCCTCATGGGGCTGCAAACCTTTTCAGCTCTTTCAGTCTTCATTCTAACTCCTCCATTGGGAACTCCATGATCAGCTCAATGGTTAGCTGTGAGCATCTGCTTCCTTCAGAGGCTTTCTTGAGCTGTATAATTCATAAATAATCTTCAATTGAGCACTGAATAGAACTGAGTACAAGCCTATTAACATGCTGGCATGAAGACTACTGCCAACCCAATGGCACTTTGAGATGATTAGTGTTATCAACTTGACAAAAGTTAGAATCACCTGAAAGATGGGCCTTTGGCCATGTCGGTGGAAGATTATCTAGACTATCTTAGTTGAGTTGGGAAGACACGCTCACTGTGAGTGTTCCCAGTCTCTACCATGGGAGATTTTGAGCACTGTAAGAGTGGGGAATGAACAGATGTGCCCCACGATTCTGTTCTCCTATTGGCTGTTGTGGGGCATAAGGAGCATTTTTTGTCTTTTCCAAATCACCTTTGGTGAGTTTGTGTTTTGTTATGTTAGTGTTCAGTCTTATTGAAATGCTGTTGCTGGAACCCATGACCTCATTCGAGCTTGGCAAAGGCTCTCAGCTCTAACCTAGCCCCACCTCTTGTCTAATCTTTTTAAAAACACACAGTCCTCCACATACTGCTATCTGTTCTGTAGAGGATCAACTTAGGAGCTTTTGCTACTCAGTCTTGACTGAAGGTTTGCCATGGGCTATGCATTCCCTGTTGTAGTCACAGAGAATATAGCAGTGATTAAAACAGAAAAACCTTGTTTCCACGGAGCAAGTAAGTTTTGGTAGTATGAGGAGATAAATAAAGCTAAAATATTAGCTGTTATGTTATGAAGCTTAAAATTTGGGGAGAAATCTTAAGGTTAAAATACTGACCAGGTCCAGTGATGTTGCCCAGTGGAGAGAGGTGCATCTAGCAATGATGCAACCCTTAGGATCCAAGTTTAACCCTCAGAACCTATGTAAGGATGGAAATTGAGATGACACTCCACAGAGTTGTCCTCTGACCTTCACATGCACATTAGGACACATTCTCACATACAACTGTACATACACAATAATAAAATAAATATGAAATTCAACAATAACATAAGTAATATGGTCCATGCTAACCAGCGCAGAGCTAGTATCTAATCAAAGGGCTAGATGAATTCTAATTTTTATAAAATGGGCTAAAAGAAAATTAACAACAGTAAGAGCTGTAAGAATGGAAGGATATTTTTTTCTTTTTTATACAGTTTTTTTAAAAAAATGACTTTATTTTTATTTCATGTGTTTTGTCTCTTTGTGTGTCTATATGAGAGTGTTAGATACCCTAGAACTAGAGTACAAATGGTTGTGAGCTGCCATGTCAGTGCTGGGAACTGAACCCGGGTCCTCTGAAAAAGCACCCAAGGCTCTTAACCACTGAACCATCTGTCCAGCCCGGAAATCTCAGGCCAGTAGTTACTTACTTACTTATTTTTGAGGCAGGGTTTCTTCATGTAGTCCTGGCTGTTCTATAACTCTGTAGACCAGGCTGGCCTTGAACTCAGAGGTCTGTCTGTGTGCTATAACCACCAGACAGGATTTTGTTTTTTTTTTAAGATAGGAATTTATATAACATGGTGACAGGGGAAACAGAGTACACACAGCTGAGGGGGAAGGAGGCTGAGGCCTAGGAATAATGATTCATTCTGCCACTAACAGGCCACCACACCACATGTACTGCAGCTCAGGTCTTAGTTTCCTTAAAGGACAATAATTGAAGGATAAGATTATGATCAATTCTGCTATAGCTATACCTCCTACTTTGAAAATACAAATTTGTTCCAACACAACTGATATATTAAACACAGTTTGAGTGTGTATGAAGTTTGCCTTTCTTCCATAGGAAGCTCACTAAACTGGGGAAGGCTAGAAAATATAAGATGTGCATACAGGCACCTTAATATCCACCAGCTGTCCAGGGTCAGCAGTGTCAGAGCTACACTCATCCACACCTGCTGTTTAAACTAGCCACCTCATTTCAGTCAGGCCTCTTACCACCCCAGAAATTCTCAAAAGCTGCACCACTCCTAGTGTCCACCCTGGAAGCAATGTTTTTAAAGTACTCTATTTACTGTAATAATTGTGCTTTTTAAAAATCATTGAGTTGCATAAAACCATGCTATTTTAAAATTTTACATTCATGTATTTGTGCATGGGGGTGGTACATGTCCCACACAGGGAGGTCAAAGGACAACCTGCAGGAGACTTAGGGAGAAAGCTCAAGTCACCAGATTCTATGACAAATGCCTTCTCACTGGCCTCTGATAACTTTTAAAATTAAGTTATTTCTTTTTTAGTACCTGGCAAAAGTGAAGTTTTGGGTGCTTTCCCCTTTAATCTAATTCCCCCATTAGCCTATGGTTTTTGCTGCATGAATATGCAACCGTGTGGTGATTTTTCAGAAAGACAAGAGGTCTGTTACACCAGGAGCAATTGTTTGGAGATCATTTTCAAATCAACATTTATCTCTGTCTCGCCTCACCCTGCTGTTCTTAGACTCAATATTTCCCTTCAGTAGTCTTTTAGATGAAATTTAACACACTGAACCATACCAACAGGAGGCTGAAAATAAGTCAATGTGGGTTTTTTTTTGTTTGTTCGTCAATTTTTCTTATAAGGAAAAAAAATGAAGCAAGTCACACCATCAAATTGAGTGTGTACTTACAAACCATTTTGATTACAAAGGTGGTAATTCTTCTAAGCACAATGAAAAAAGAAGGGATAAAGAAAGTCAGATACCCTGAAAAGTCTACTTGAAGGTCAACATGAGACCCCAAGATTGCATCATTAAGCAAATCTATGAGTGCTCATTTCAACAGCATATACATTAAGATTGGAATGATATAGAAAACGTGAGCATGGCCCCTGTGTGGTATGATAAGAAGATTTATTAAGCGTTCTCTATTTTTTAACTGATCATGGAGTGCTCAACTCCAGTGATAAACAATGTAGCACAACCCCTACACCTAAGGCGCAGGGAATGTCATGGAAGGAGGTGGAAGACTATAAGAGCCAGAGGATCACGATTCATGCTATGAGATAGTGCCTTTCATATATGACAGGAAAGCTAGAGCCATGAAACCTCAAAAGTATGGTGGCACATACAAGACCTGCACAACAATACCACCGTTTGACATGCTACTGTGGACAGGGGTGGGGGTGGGTGGAGCAAATTTTACAGGGCTCTTCCCCAAATGAAGAACTTCAGGCAAAATGGCTGCTGAGAAACAGAGTTGATTTTCAGGGACAAGCTATGACCCCACCCAGATAGGATATCTAATCCCCAGGGGTCAGCTGTAAACAAATTAGTATACAAACAATGATAAATAGACTTATTAGGCTGAATTTACATATACCTATGTGAGTAGATAGATGATAGACAGATGATAACTAATGATATAGACAGATAAACAGAGAGACAGACATGTGTAAGAAAAATTTAAAAGTAAGAGGTCATGAATTTGAAGCTTAGGTGGACACAGGAGGAACTGCAAGGGTAGAGGGAATGACAGCAATGATGTAAATATGGTACTCACATGTAAAAGGCTAAAGAGAATTGTTTAAACAAATTAACAAAAAATCAAATATGTAAGGTCAGTCTTCCTGTTCCTAATAATATATCATTATTAAAATGCCTCCCCAAATTCACTAAGCCAATTTCACCATGAAAAGAGAAAAGGGATTGTTAAAATGTAGACTTTCTACTGATAACAAGAGATGTTAAGAGAGTCAGCCAATGGTTCAAAAGTGTTTCATCATTTGAAGACACAAAAATCAAACGTAGCTACATACTGTCCAAAATGATAAAGTTTTTTAAAACTAACTGATAATTATCCCAAAAGTGAATGCAAATCACACCTTTTTTTGTGATAGTTCTCCACAATTGGGGCTAATGACTTGTTTGCATAATTAACTGTGACTTATGAACCTGCCTACAGTCCATGTTTACTGTACCTGCACACCTTCTTAGCAGCAACATCTAGATCATTCTTTCTTTTTAGGCCACTTCCTTAAGAGAGACCTTCACTAATATCTCTATTAGCTCTGCCTACTGCAATCTCTGCCTGGTGTGACGTAATAGTTGATGTCAAATTCCTTCTAGATGTCTGTGGTGGTTTGAATGAAAATGGCCCCTGTAGGACCATAGGGAGTGGCATTATTAGGAGGTATGATCTTGTTGGAGTAGGTGTGGCCTTGTTGGAAGAAGTGTGTCACTGGGGGTGGGCTTTGAGATTTCAGATGTTCAAGCCAGGCCCACTTGCTCTCCCTGCTGCTTTCAGCTCTGGATGTAGAACTCTCAGCTAATTCTCAAGAACCATGTCTGCCTGTGTGCCACCATGCTTGTTGCCATGATGACAATGGACTAAACCTCTGAACTGTAAGCCAGAACAATCAAATGCTTTCCTTTATAAAAGCTGCTGTGGTCATGGTATCTCTTCATACAAAAGAAACCCTAACTGAGACAATGGCCATCTCCATTTACTTTCATGACCACACTACCATCACAACAGACACTAAAGGACATATTTGAAGCCTAACTAAACACACACCAGTTACCTTGATCTTACACTATACCCACTTCAACCCAATGATTGTGTAAGGGATTTTTCCCCCTGTCATTTCCCTGTCACTATTCACTTGCCAGCTCCATGAGTTACCTACCTGAACCTACTCCAGACCAACCCACACTCTTATCATTTATACCTCTTGGATGTCAAGCATTCATCTCATCTCACTTCTCCAATTTTGGCTAGCAGTACTGGGGTGTTTATTTTGTATTTACTTTTGATATTATAATTCTTTTCACTTATACTTCTCTTGTTGGGTTTCATGTGTACATGTGGGTTACTATGTATGCAGGTGCACATGTATACATGTATGTGTGAACATGTACACGTAGAAGCTAGAGCTCAACTTAGTCATCCTCAAAATGAGATCATCTACTCTTTAAAAAAAGATTCATTTATTTGTATATTTTATGTATATGGGTGCTTTGTCTGCATGTACCCCTATACACGAGCAGAGGAGCATATCAGAATCTCATTATAGATGGTTGTAAGCTGCCATGTGGTTGCTGGGAATTGAACTTGACCTCTGAAAGAGTAGCCAGTGTTCTTAAACACTGAGCAGTGTGCCCTAAGCATCTACTCATTTGAGACAAGATCTCTCATTGGCCTATAACTTCCAGATTAGGCTAGACTGTTTAGTCAGCAAACCCTAGGGATTCTCCTGTTCCCACCTCTATAGATCTGTGAATATAAAAGAGGGCTATCAAGAATCGTGTGTGTGTGTGTGTGTGTGTGTGTTTCTATATGGCTTCTAGGGATTAAACTCAGGTTATCGTATTTTTTGAGGCAAGCAGTTTACTGACTGCGGTATCCACCCAGCTCTGGATTCTGAGTTTCTTAAAGATTTTAGCACCAAGCCCAGTTGAAGCTGGAGAGGTCTAGGAGTGTTTATTGCTCTGTCAGATGAGGATTCAGGTGACAGCAACTCATACAGTTCACAAACATTTGTGATTCTAGTTCTAAGAGATCCAATGTGTCCTTCTAGCCTCGTGGGTACACACGTACACATGTAAACACAAATATAAATTTTATAAAAGTCTACTCTCTTGCCTATAATGAATGTTCTTTTAAGGCCACTAAAATAAAATTCTGTTGAATTTAGAAAAAGATGAGAAAAAAGTTCTCTCTCTCTCTCTCTCTCTCTCTCTCTCTCTCTCTCTCTCTTTCTCTCTGTCTCCCTCCCTCCCTCCCCCCGTGTATGTGTGTGTGTGTATGTGTGTATGTGTACCCACTGAGGTGTACATACATACACACATACACAGACTTTTTATACATTGGCTTTCTCTGAATATCAAGAGGTAAGTAAGGGAAGCATTCAGAATTCTGCCCACTTCTATAAAAATACCTCAGTACCTTCAACATCTGGATCCTAATATTATATCGGGTTTACATCTTGTCAAGACATAAAAAGTGTTGAAAAATAATGAATACTCTTTTTGATGGGTCAGTCTAAACAATGTCCTGAAAACACATGACAGAAATTTAGAGTGACATCTAGACTCTTCACCTTGTATGAAGTAAATGTCCATAATAGTCTGATTGTGTTTCTGGCAGCCAGATATTCTTAATAACTATTCACCTCGTCCTTTTCCTTTTCCATATGTCTGTGCTGTCTCTAGACAGAATTTAAGTCAGAATCCGTGACTAATGTACTTGGTATGACAGCTAGAAACAAGTAACATCTTGGCTATCAACTCTTGATCATAACACTATTCTTGGACAATTTATTTGGGTCCATTAAGGAGCCCTGCTTAGTGGTTAAAATTCTGTTCTGTGTCACTCCTGTTATCTGTAGGGAAAATAGAGCAGATTAGAGACTAGCATAAAGGGTTACCCTGATATGGGGGATTATAAAATTTGGAGGAAACTGCAAAAAAAAAAATACTTTGGTAAGTACACTTAGGCTGAAGGCACAAAGCTGCTATTGGTAGGCTGACTCCAGAATATTGACCAGAGTGTAGTATGCAGACAGTTTAAAGTCCTGTCTCTAAGGCACATCAGAGGCAACAGGAAGTGCCAAATCAGTGTCAGAGCAAACTTCTACAATGAGAGAGGTATCTTTTTTTTTTTTTTTTTTTTTTTTTTTGGTTTTTCGAGACAGGGTTTCTCTGTGTAGCCCTGGCTGTCCTGGAACTCATTCTGCAGACCAGGCTGGCCTTGAACTCAGAAATCCGCCTGCCTCTGCCTCCCAAGTGCTGGGATTAAAGGCGTGTGCCACCACCACCCAGCTGAGAGAGGTATCTTAAAGTTGGATTATTTATATCTACAAATTGGGAAATTGCCTAAATTTAAGTCATCCCAAGTAAATAGCAGTCTGGGTGTTTATTGTTATTAGAATTATTATATGTTTGATATTAAAAGTTGTCAGCATATTATTTTGGTTTGAATATTACTGTTTACTACATATATGATGGAAGGTTTATAATATGTATACTTCCAATCAACAGACACACTTTAAAATCTTGAAAATATGTGCTCAAATAGACTCTCTTCTTCCTGGGTACTAGATAGGGGGCGTCTTCTTAGGCAGTTATCTGATAATTTAATAGGTAATAAAGGAAAAAATGGCATTCTGAAAACTAAAATAAATATAGATCTGGTCTAGATATTACATCTTTGTTGAATTGGTATTTGCAGTCTGTATGTCCAGCCTTCCCAGGAGTCATTTGAACCAAAAGTCACTCTTACGGATATCCAAGAATAAACGCTGTCTTCCTTTAGACAGCCATGAAAGGAACTGTGTTGCTCTGTGATGATAGAGCATGTGTTCTCCACTCATCCATATCCAGATGAAGTGTTTTGAGATGAAGGCTCATTCTTTCTTCTTCTTTTGAGTATCTCACAGGTCAGAGTCACCAATTGACATATGTAACACAAATGTAATAGGTACCTGTCAATTAGTTGACTTTGCTATAAAAAAAAAAAGATAAACAGCATCAGATCTATCTTTTCCCCACATTGCTAGTTCATTATTTGGGACAAAGCTCAAAACAAAATGCCAGAGTTTAAGGAAGAGGCAAGTGACACAAAGAAAAACTCAGGAGGAAGTGAGAGCAGAAGTGGAGGGAGGAAGGCAACAGATACCGAGGGGAAATCATGGGACAGAGCAGTATGTTGCGGCCCACGAACAACTCCATTAAATGCTGATGCTAAGACAGCAAAGGAACAGATTTAAGTTCCAATCCTGCATTCACTGTACGGACTGTGAAACATAAAGATCAAGGTCTTCCATCTGAGCCACAGCAGACATGTTCACAGCTGGAAGAGATCATAGATGACCCAAGATAAAATAGCTTCAGGGTGACAACCTGTGCACCATCTCCAATTCTCTGGAATTCTTC